CTCAATGGGTCCCGATAAACCAACCTGGGTGCCCCACTCCTTCCTCCAGGCTCAAATGTGTTTGTTTGTTTGTTTTTTTTACAACTGGGAAGCAGCTCAATTTTGTTGCTTTGTGTGTGTGTGGTGTGTGTTTTGTTTGCTTGTTTTTTAATTGTTAGCTTTGTATAGTAAAGTCCAAAGAAACTGAAGAGGAAGAACGGGGTAAGGGGGTGGGGAAAAATCCCTCCTCCCTCCACACCCCTCGCCCCCAACCAACCTGCCTCCCTCCCAGTTTTGTAAGCACCAGAGTATTCAAGTCTGTCCCCAGAGGACAATGCTCGCTCCAGGCCCCAGTCAGCAGGCGGAGACTAGACCTTTTTCATACGTGCAGCGGCGTTTGGGTTGGGGGCCATCTTCCTCGTCATCATCTTCTTCTTCTTCCTCTTCCTCATCCTCCTCCTCTTCCGAGGATGAGCTGTCCAGTGTGAGGTCCACCACATCGGCACTTGGCTTTCCATTTTCACTGTTCCCATTGGGGGTGGGTAACAGCCCATTCACATCGGAGGATCCTGAAAAGAAAGGGACAGGGTGTTTTACACATCCAAGAAAGCCCACAGGCCTGAACCAAGGAGTTGAGTTCCTTGGTTTTTCCTTTGCTTCACATACCAGCTAACCTTCAAATGACTTCAAACCCCCATTAAGACACAGCTAATGATTACTATAAAATCTCAAATTAAGCAGAATCTTCAACTAAATGAGTGGTTTTTTTTTTCCTGTAACAAGTTTTGGATGGAAAAAAAAAAGAAAGTGTGCTAAATGGGAAGGATTTATTAATATTTTTAAAAGTCCTACTGGGTCCCCCAAACCTGAGTCAGAGATTCAGAGCTGGAAAGGGTCTTCAGAATTAATCTAATCCACCCATTTTACAGATAGGGACACTGAGGCACCTTCTCAGGATTGGAAGGTGGTTACAGATGTTCAGAATGACAACCCCTTAAAGAGAACAATCAGGGACATTCTCTGGATACACAATCCTACAGTTTGAGCAGAATTTTCACACAAAGTGTTGAAACAAATACAAGTTTTCTAATTACTTCTCAGTTAACTAAAACCTGCCCTTTCTGGAGAAACATTTCAGTTGCTACGGAATCGGTAAAAATACAGATTTGAATAGAGGGCAAGACAAATCAGACCTTCTGAAATATGCAGCAAAGATCCGCCTGGGTTAGGTGACTTTCCCCTTTTCCCTTGCTCTCCCATCTCTTACTTGCTAATCCTCTTCCCAATCTCTCAGTCACTTCCAGGTACACTCTAAGGCCTCCTCAGCTCACCCTGGTGCTAGAGAAACAAGACCATCTGGGCCTCCCTCCACAGCTCTGCCTCTGACTGCTGAGCTGAGCTGAGCAGAACAGGCAGTTTCTGAGAAAGGTGGGGAGGCTTCTGGGGAGGTCCAAGGGCCCTGGGCGTTGCTCTCTGGGGAGAAGCAGCTTGTATTACAGGTGTCCTAGAAACATACTGTGTGAATGGACAAACTGTTTCTCCTCAACAACTTAAGGCTACAGAGCCTGTCCTGGGGTACAGAACCAAAAGCTTCCACACGTGGCAATGCAAAGGGCCAGGTGACCGGTCTGGTTCCTTCCTGTCAAGTGACTCAGCACTCTTTTCTCTCCCTCTAACTTCTCCCAGACCCTGCTGCCCACTTCACCCACCAAGGACAAGGATTGGGCACTGGGGGCTGCAGCTCCTCTCCTTCTCAGCTCGGATAGGACACCAGGAACCGTCCACCAGATATTCGATCTCGTCCGCGTCCTCGCACTCACTTAGGATCTTGGACAGGAGGCTGCAGATCAGAAAAGGAGGGGAGAGGAGAGGAGTGAGACCCACACAAAAGCATAAGAGGCACAAGTCTATCTGCACTGATGCCTAAACATAGGAATTTAAGCACTGCAGTTTCTGGATACAGACAACTATTTGTCTAGCTACGGACTCTTTTGAAAAGTGTTTTCACATCCATATTTAAAATTTTGTCACGCAGCAGAAAAAGTCTTGGATTTGGAAACAGGCAGTCTGTGCTCCAACTCTGGCTCTGGTACTTATAAAGCTGGGTGACTGTAGGAAAGTCACTTCCCCTGTCTCAGGTCCACAACTTCCTCATCTGGCAAAATGGTGACCTCACCTATGCTATCTATCTCCTAGGGCTGTTGTGAGGATCCAACAAGATAATGTGGACTTGGATGAGAAAACATGAAGCATTTTGTAAACCACAAGGCACTACAAGCGACCTTGGGCACATCCCAGAGCCCTAGCAACAATTCAGAACTCTCACTTGCAAAGCAACAGCAGATCTGTCTTTTCCTCACCAGGAGATCCCCTGCATCAATAAAGCCACAGGTTTGGATTTTCAAACAGCACTGTATAAAATATCATCTAGTAAAATTATTTTTAATCTGGGAGGTAATAATAGTTGGCATTTATATAGCGCTTTATAATAACTATCTCATTTTATCCTCATAACAACCCTGGGAGGTAGGTGCTATTACTACCCTCATTTTACAGGTCAGCAAAATGAGGTAAGACAGGCGTTGATAGGATGACATAGCTATTAAATATCTGAGACTGGATATGAACTCAAGTCTTCCTGACCTCCAAGACCAGTGTTCTTTCCACTGTGCCACCTAGCTGCCTGGGCAGGTAGGGCAGGACAGAGCTCTGGGGCTTACCTACAAGCGGGCTGCCTCTCCTGTGCACATGTGCTTTCTTTATGCCCTTCCCTGGAAGCTTCCGTGGCCTGTGATGCTTTCCCTGATTGGGCCAGGGTTCCTAAGCCAGTCTCTGTGACAGGGATGGGAAACCCACCACTAACTCAGCTCTCCATAGCCTCAGAGGTGTCTGCAGTCAGATGTTGCACACCCAGATCAGGAGTGACAGAGCATGGTGGAAGTGGGTATGCTAAGTCCAAGAGCTGCCTCTCCAATGGTCATCACAAAACAGCCCCTTTCCTCTTCCTGCCATGGCCTAAAAACCATCGCATCTAAGGTTCGGAAGCTCAACTGAGACCCAGGGGCATAGCCTTTGCACAAAATCTCTCTTCCCTCACTGGTCCCCTTCATTCCCTTCATGACCCTGCCCTCCAGGATTCTGTGTAGTCCTCAGGCCTTCCCTGAATAAAGTCCTACTGCTTTACGCATAACTGGCCTAATCATTTTGTGAAGTCTCCTTCAAGTCCCATAACTGTTGTTGAAGACTACAACAACAGGCCACATCAGCCCGAGTTGTTTTGCCAAAAGTTCCTTGGAGGACAGTTTCAACTTGGAGAAGCTTAGCGCAGAAGCACATGGGCCTTAAAATCGGTGGTGGCGGCATCGTCAAATTTCAGTCTTAGATTTAAGCATTGTGACCATGGACAATTCTGTTCTATTCGAAGCTCCAACTTCTTCAACCCATAAAATGAGAATAAACACTTACATTACCTATCTCACAGAACTGTTGTGAGCAAAGCATCAAAGAAAAATCTATTCTTTCAAACTAAATTCTAGATAAGTTAGTTACTGAAACAGGGAATGTGACTTTGAAAATCTGTTTAAGTTCTCATTTTTGGCGCTGTCTATGCATCAAGTTATTTTAGACATTATAATTAAATCAACACGGAGATTACTTTTAGGAAATTACCTTGAAAGTATCACATTTTAACGTTCAGAAACTCTTAATACTGTAATGTACTTTAAAGACCACGAGTGTTCCAAATGCCTCCTCACCTCTGCCTTTCCTAATCACATCTCCTAAGGGGAGCCCCTCTTGCCCTTTCTGTTAATGCTTTAGCCTTCCTCAAAGCATCTTGTGTTCCTTTAGTGGAATCTGTGTGTCTCCAGGGCAGGAAGTGTTTGGGTTTTTTTCCCCCACTTAATAGTATTTTATTTTATTTTTTTCCAATTACATGTAAAGGTAGTTTTCAACATTCATATCTGTAAGATTCTGAGTTCCAAATTTTTCTCCCTCCCTGCCCAAGAGGGCAAGCAATCTGATATGGGTCATACATGTACAATCACGTTAAACATACTGGCAGGAAGCGTTTTCAGTTCTGGTTTTGTATCTGCATCCTATGTACTTCACATGTTAGGTTATTTATTGTGTGTCTTGTTCAGTCTTGTTCAGTCTAGCAATGGCCTTTAGCCAAAAGCAAAAACCTGTGACCTAGGTAATATTATTCCCAGTTTACACATGGATAAACTGAGGCCTACATATGACAAATGATTTGTGCAAAATTCCACAAGAAGTAAACGGGATTTTCAGTTCTCTGCTTTCTTTCACTAGATCACAATGGCCTCACCATTAACCAAATGCTCCACTGCTCTTCTATGACCATGAATTCAGTTTTCACATGTCATCAGCAACAGCTTTTAATAACTACCAACCCAAACCAGCTCTAAACATTGAGAGATTCTGCCTCCCTAGAGGGCAGTTCTATCTCCCAAAGATCAGGTTACCATGGGAACAGCTAAGCAAGTTTACCATATATTGACCATGCCAAGAAGGGAATGGTCAAGGTACAGTTCTCCTGTTGATTCTACCTTGGCAACATCTCTTCTATCACCCCTTTCTGCTACTATTTGAGTTCAGGCTCTTACTAGCTTTTGTCTGGGATCATATGCCTCTATGGTTCTGGTTTCCCTGTCTCCAGTATCTCCCTTTTTCAACCTATTCTCTTCAACCTGCCAAAATACTCTTGCAAACACACAAACCACATCATTTCCCAGCTCAAAACACCTTCATGGCTTCCCACTACCTGGAGGATAAAATTCAAACTCCTTAGCATGGAATACAAGGCCTTCCGTCATTTGGCTCAAATCTCTTTTTCTGGTCTTATTTCATTCTATTCCTTCAGACCCTTGATAGTGTAGTCAAACAGATGGCCAGCTGTCCTCATCTCCTGTCCTTCTGCACATCAGCTCGAGTAGCCCTTCCCTCCATGCTTAGGGAATACACACGTCTCTCCTACCCCAAATCCCCTCTCCCTCCTGTATTTCACACAGTACATTGATCAGATCCTGCCCCCTTGTCTTTAGCAGTGTATTTTGTACTATGCTTGTTTGTGAACATGTCTTAACATCATTATTGGAAAGGTAAACTCCTTGAGAGCAGAAGCAGTTTCCTTCAACACCACCCCCTCCTACTTTTATATCCTTACAGCATGTTTCTCCAACACTTCTGTGTACAAAGCCGTTGGGGATGGGGGAAAGAGTATTCAGTAAATCTTAAAGCAATAGAAAAGCAAGTTAGTAGTTGTAAAACTTTTCCTTGCAAAAGTTTCAAAAGTGACCTCTCCCTTTGTCTCAGTATTGTTGAACAAGTCTGTGTTAAAAAGTTACTTTCTTGATTTTAATTACATCCCTCTTGCTTTCTCTCATTCCTCCCCCTTACTCCCCAAGGCTGATGTAAGGAAAAGCACTTTGTAAACTTTAAAGGAGGATAGGAAGGAAATTTATCCTCCTCCTCGTCGTTGTCGTCTCCTCTGGGCTGTCCCTAGCCCTCCTCTCCGGCCCCAGGAGTCCGTGTGTACCAAGTGCTTTCTGCCCAGGCAATGACACTCACTGGCTAGACGTCACAGATTCCTTGCCCCAGGGCTGCCACTCAGGCATCCCTCACAGTGCTGGCATTCAGGGCATGTCACGTGCCCGGCAGTGCTAGCCCCCATAGCTCAGAGGCCTACTCCACAGGGACTGGTTACGGTTCTAAAGAGGCAGGCCCAGAATACTGTGAAGCAGTGGCAGGAGCAAGGAGCTAGAAGCACTGGGGGGGAGGTGGGGGGCTGTGGGGACTGTAGCAGAGTGCTCCTAGTGCAAAAGCTTCCGGGCAGAGAGTGGCCCTGACTCGAGCACACGCTGGCTGAATGGCTCTGGGCAAGTGCCACTTGACCTCCGTTTGCCCAGATCTCCTTATTTGTAGAACAGAGAAAATAACCCTGGCATCACCTCCCTTAGAAGATCACTGTAAGTGCTGAAGAAATGGGAGTTTTGATTGGGACCCCCCAAGGCATGGCCCAGGAATCCCATCTGGGTCTCAGATCTTGTCATTTCAGTCAGACAAAACAAACGCGGAGCTAGCTACTAGACCCATCGCTCTTGTTACTCAAGGATTTTTGCCTATAAGGAGAAATGGCTAGGTTCAGTACCGCCTCTGGGCATAAAGCAAGGAGGCATTTTTCAAAGGGAAAGTCAAGCAGACTCTTTCAAAGTTCTCCCTGTTCCCCACTACACTGGGCCCAAACTCGTGGGCTTGTGGGCTGTGTGATCTGCTCCCCCGGCTGGCCATCCTAGCTCCCACTGCTCCCCAACACAGGATCTCACTGCCTCCTGAATAACTCCAGGCCATGTGGGGACACCACATTGTCAGGTAGTGTTTCCTTACATTGAGGCATCATCTGCCTCCCTAGAGTTTATCCTCATCCTTGCCTTGTTCTGCCCTCTGCAGCCAAGCAGAACTAGTCTAATTTCTCTACATGGTACCCCTTCAGATATATCAAAGGCTTACATTTCCCAAGGTCTTCTCACCTCTCCAGGCTAAAGATTTCTAATTCCCCAACAAGGCATTAAATGGCTTGGGTCTTAGTCCTCTCACAGTAAGAAACATCTCATTCCAGCTCCTGATCTGTGCAGAAATTCCATGGCAAACCAGCTTCTGCCTGAACAGTTTTCAGGGACAGGGAGCCAGCTACCTTATGAAGATACTTATTATTAGAAAGCTCTGGTTGCTAGAAAAGGTTATTACTTGAAGACTGTCTGCTTCAGAATGAAGCAATCAAGTCCTATGGCTAGACCGTGCGTCTGGAAGTCAGGAGACCTA